ACCTAGTACCAGTCCCTAAGATCTAGCCAAGGGTTTTGGGCTTCATCCTTTACATCCTTTGTTATATGTCCCAAGTTTTATCCCTGACTTATCCATGAGTCATATAAAAATCCATAATTTTTGCCCTCAAACATACCCTTGACTTATATATGACTTACACACAAGTATATATGGTAAGTCACTCATCCAGCCTAAAACTGTCAACTCTGACTAGCAGTGACTCTCCAGGATTTTAGACAAGTTTTGTTTTTCTAGTTCTATTTGAAAAAATCCTTGGTACTACCTGGTAGTTTTCTATCCAAACCTCACCCTACTCCATTACCAAAATGAAATTAGGATGGTCAAATGGTGATTCCTTTGGATATGATGATTCATCAGACGATTATTTTGAGGTGATACAATTTCCAAAAGGTAATTTTATTTGGAGGTGGTTATTTAACGTTTTAGAGCAAATCAAGCCCAAACTGACCTTCAAAGCCAAAAATGACCCAACTGAGGCAGTTGTACTTTGGCCATATCATAAGATGATATGACTCACTAGCCAAGACAATAATGCTCAGTAAAGTGGAAGGCAGTAGGAAGAAAAGAAGACCACATCACTGCTGGGTTGATTCAATCACAAAAGCTACCTATCCTGAATCTGCACGACCTGAGCAGAGCTGTTGATGTCTTCTTGGAGGTCTCTCATCCATGGGGTCACCACAGGCTGATGGCAATTGACAACAACAATTATTCCAAAAGGAGCCTTGGCAAGTGAAGATTCGATCATTAATCTTTAGGGTGTGACCAGGTCACCTTTGAGTGTTCTTCCTTTCTCTCTGCTTCCAGGTTTTCTTGAAAGGCATCAATGAGCCTTTGGCACAACCCGATGGCACCGTCATTGCCACTGCCAGAATTGTGAATAACCTCACAGCTTATACGTGAGTAGTGGAGCTTGTGGGGAAGGGGGCTAGGGGAAAAACATTTACATTTTAAAACAATAAAACCTGCTACTGTTAATGGTGAGTCCTACCTCCCAAGAAAGGATCTCTTCAAACATCTGAGTCTATTTTGGGGAGATGTTCCAACACCTTGGATGAAACTTGGGTTGGATTCACCTTCCCACTGACATGGGATTCACCAGCTGCCACTGAGAGAAATGTTCACCACCTTATTTCTCTGTCCGTGGATGAGATAGCAAAATAAGACACATTGTGGGGAGTCATGCACCTGTGCCACCACTGCAACCAAATGGGAGGACCTCCATTTGTCCCACTGAGATGCCACCAAATGTGGGGATGTTCTAGATGTCCTTATGGTTCCTGTACAAGACTTTATGTGCATAGTCCCACCATTGGACACGATCACCCTAGGCAAAAGAAAAATATCACCAAATGTTTCTTGGGAGGGCCCTTGGTATCCACTGGGGGTTGGTTCCAGGATCCCCTGTAGATAACAAAATCCATGGATGCTTAAGTTCCATTTTATACAGTGGCATAGTAAAATGGTCTCTCTTATATAAAATGGCAAAATCAAGGTTTGCTTTTTTGGGAGCCATGGATGGTTGAATTGGCAAAATCAGAATCCATGGGTACAAGAGGCTGAGTGTTTAAGGCTGTAAACATCCTGTTCTGCATTGAACTTATGAAGTTGTAGATACAAATGACTCCTAGTGTTGTGTCTTTTTTTTTCCTTTCTAAAGAAATGAGATGAAGTCTCGACCACTTGATGCTCCTCCTGTTCCACTGACCCTTGTCAACTTCCCAGATCCCACAATGGAGGATTTTGATGTTCCACGAGTCACCAATCATGGGTACCCTCAGGTACTAGCCAAGTGTTTCTTAGGGATGTTCTCCATGGGAGGGGGGAAACAACTGGTTGAGTAGCTGGTACAGCCTAAAGGCTAAGAGGCTAACCCTAAATGATGGGCAGGAGTCAGAAAATTGGCAGATCAACCCATTCCTCAAGCCCTTCCAACTCATGCCTGCTGGCATAGAAAGCGGAAGATTGTTTACTGGTGCATCCCTTTTCACCCACTAAGAAACACTAGTGATGGAAATTAGCCATGCTAGCTCCAGGATGGTATAGTTAACTACTGCGTTTCCATATGCTTCTAGGAAACAGAGCCAGCTCTACCATTAGACGACCATAGTTGCTGGGAGGGAAAACTGGGAATCATCTGACCATTCCTCTGACACTTCCTGGCCATTCCCCTCTATTGGAGGATTAAGCTTTGGCTACCACGTACCTTCTACTGCAGTGGTGGAAGGTGGCATCTATATCAGTAGGTCAATGAATTCACTCTGGGTGCACCTACACTGTAGAAATAATGCAGTTGACACCACTTTAAAATGTGGTAGCTCCATCCATTGATTTGACCTGCATTGAAAAAAAATCAAACAAGTAAAATATCATTTTTATTGATTTTATTTTTTCCAAGGACATTTCCCAAATTTGGCGATGCAGCTCTTCGTTCAAAACTTGTGTGCTAATATGCACATATGAGGCAGAGCTGTGCATAAGCACAGAAACCATTCAGGAAAGTGATTCATTACTAGTTACATTTTTATCTTGCATTTCCTTCAACAAGATCAAGGCTCCATACATGTCTGTTGTTCCCTACATTATCCTCACGACAACCCTGTAAGGGAGGGGGCCAACCTAGCTTCCCATGGGAGGGATTTATTTATTTTTTTGCAATACAGGTCAAGTCTCCATTACCCAGAATTCTAAAATCCAAAATATTCCAAAATCCCAAATTGTTCACATGGATGACTGAGATAGTGACACCTTTGCTTTCTAATGGTTCAAGGTACACAAACTTTGTTTCATGCACAAAATTATTAAAAATATTGGGTATAAAATTACCTTCTTATGTGTATAAGATGTGTACAAAACATAAATGAATTTTGTGTTTAGACTTGGGTCCCATCTCTGAGATATCTCATTATGTGTATGCAAATATTCCAAAATTTGGGAACAGCCACCAAGAAGGCCCTCTCCCATGTCCACACCAAACGTACCTGCGATGGTATCGGGTCTGTGAGAAAGCCCTCCTGCAAAGATCTTAAAACTCAGACAAGTTCATGTAAAGACATTCTGGAGTCATATCTGGGTTATCTCTTGTGCTTCTTGTCAAGAGGAAAGAAGCACCATCCAAAATTGATTCTCTTCCATTATTGCAGCTTAAGAAATATCTGCCCCAGGGGGACGCATGGCAGGAGTGAAATATTACCCTAAAGAGGAAAACGTTGGAGCCACGTGCTATAAACTGTGGTTTCATCCTGATATAGCTGATAGCTCTCTGGTGAGGCATAGTGCCAGCTAGAGCTGGCACAAAAGATACACAAACTAGTTAGAGTGTTATGAATGATTTAAGCGAGGCAGCTGGGCTGAGACAATTATATTCCCTTCCTCCCGTTCTCACTCTCTTCCTGTTAGTATTGTTAAAACCTTCCAACAAATGTTGATTTTTAGAGAATGGCTTGAGTGCAGCTTTAATGCAACCCATCAGATGGGATGTGTGGAGCCCTTAGTATGGCTATTTCCTACATCTCAGCTCTTTTGTGGATTTGTCTTGTGAGCCGAGGGACACCACTGCAACCTCAGTTTCCATTCTGTAACAAGGAATATATATATATCTGTGTGTATAGGGACATAATGGGCAGTCGAGAGCCAGCGTGGCATAGTGGTTTGAGTGTTGGGCTCTGGTGACCAGGGTTCATATCCCAGCTCTGCCATGTCAACCCACTTACATACTCTTTCAGCCTCAGAGGAAGGTAGTGGAAAACCTCCTCTGAAGAAACCTGCCAAGAAAACCCCACAATAGGGTTGTCTTAGGGTTGCCAGAAGTCAGAAATGACTTTAAGGTGCACAACAATTACAACAAAATATCCAATTATAGGAATATAATGCCCAATTAGGAGAGCCAGTGTAGTGTAATGGTTTGCGCAACATGACTGTGAGATCCTGGAACTGGCACAGGAGTAACTTACCACACCTGAGGACCAACGCTATACAGCACGATTGGGAGCTTATTGATGGGTTTTCCCCATCAATGTCAAGGTGTGCTCCAACCACGCTTCAAGGACAAGGCAGCAATGAGAGGGAGATGGCATCGTGCAATAAGTATCACCAAAGGCACTATTGTCAAACTTTTATGGTGGTTTAATAGCTGAGTGTGATAAGGTCCTAAATCCCAGGTTTCTGTACAATGGAGTCATGACAGTTTAAGGACTGATAGTTTGAGCCCTGAGGCTGTTATAGTTCTAGAGATTGTTGTTTCTTCCTCCTTTACAGCCTCAGAGCAGGGTTAACAACAACAATGTCTTCATTTTGTCCTGGGGAATAATCGTGAAAGTGGGTTGAAGTGCTCTACTGGAGGGAGGGTTTCTGAAGGTTCATATCTCTTATTTAGCCTTGGAAGCAGCAAGAGGTGGTGCAAGAAAGCTCTGGCATGGGGCTGGAGGAAGAACAAACAGAGATGTAACAAGCCTCCCCCCATCCACCCATCCAAAACGTGTGCTTTGCATACCATAAATCTCACTTTCCAAGCACGGGACTGCATTTAGCCATTGAATTACAAATTAATCCACAAAGGGAATTGAACTGTCATGATAATCTCCCCTTCCCTCTCTCCTTTTTACCTGCGTCCATTCAGGAGGCTGTTTAGCTCCTAGGATGCCTGCGTACCACATGTTTGTTTATGTATGCATGCTTATTTTCATCTTTTCTTTTCCACTCCATTTTGTAATCCTTTGATAACCTCAAGTTTGCCTGATGCTGATTAGATTAAAACACATTTTTAAAATTGCAGTCTAAAACACTGATTTTAGAGGAGATTGGGCATTTTCAGGGTGGTATGGCAGTTTCAGCAGGAGCCATAGATCAAGCAGAAATCTACGGTGACCATCTTTGCAGAGTTAGCAACAGCCATGTTAAAATCATAGTGAAAGAATAGTTGGGACAAAGTAACTGAGGCATCCTTGCATAGACAAGCACAGATAAAACAACTAACAATTGCCAACATGGTATAGTGGTTTGGGTGTTGGACTATGATTCTGGAGACCAGGGTTCGATTCCCTGCTTGACCATGAAACTGGATGACCTTGTGCAAGTCAGGCAATGGCAAACCTCCTCTGAACAAATCTTGCCAAGAAAACCCTAAGATAGGTTCGCCTTAGGGTCACATTAAGTTGAAAATGACTTAGAGGCACACAACAACAAACCATGGTAAAAAAAAAAAAGCCAGTGTGGTGTAGTAGTTTGAGCATTGTACTACAGCTCTGGAGATCAGGGTTCAATTCCCCACTCAGTGATGGAAACCCACTTGGTGACCTTGGGCAAGTCACACATTCTCAGCCCAGGAAAACCCCACGATAAATTCACCTTAGAGTCATCGTAAGTCAGAAAAGACTTGAAGACACACATAAATGTGTGCAGTATGTATTTTACAAATGTGGGCAATGTGTTGATTTTGCAAAGAAATGCATACTACATTAACTGAAATCAATGCTTTTGTTTGGTTTTTCAGCAGAACAGAAACAAGTTAGCTACCTCCGGACTGTCAGTCCTGCATGTCATGCATTTCGACTATCCCTTATTGCTCTTTTGAAAATCTGGCAAAACTAGGGGGGAAGGAGCATTTCTGCATTTCTTATGTGTCAAAGCCTGGGCAATAGTCAGTGCAGGGACAATGAACTGAGCTCTATTGAGCTGCAAGGGAGAGTTAGGTGTTGTTTTTGTAAAGGCAGTTGCTGTGGATATAGAAGCCAATAGATTTCCCTGGATAAATGTATGTGTTGGCTAATCATCTTCAATTATTCTGCCACCTCAACATGCCCCTTACAACTGTCATTCCATATTAATATCTGCAGACAATAGCTCCAGATTCGCCTTCAGCAGAGCACCAAGCCCGACACATGCTTGGCACTCAGACCGTTCATGGTTGAGTTACCCACACCAGGTTTAACCTCTTCTCAACCTTCTTCTTCTTTTTTCCAAGTCTTGGTTCTCTGACATGGCACTACCCAATTCTGGGTATTGTAATCCAAAAATGCAACTCAATAACTGAGTAGTAAGACTGTATGATTTGTAGTCCAACATATCTGGAAAATGCTAAGTTGGAGAAGGCCATTTAAAAATTACTGATTGTAAATTTTGGAGTGAGCCAATAACAAAATGTGCCACTAGGGGGACTATGCTGAAAAGCAAACATGTCCTTAGTTGTGCATTTTGTGCATTCTTTATTTAAAATTATGAATTACATTACAAATTAATTAACAGTGATACACTGAGTGTCATTCATTGTATCTTTGTGAAGTAATTTATTCATTGTGTCATTACTCCTACCAACATTATCAATAATGAGTTCTCTTTTTTTTAAAGTATCGTCACAAATGCATTAATGTTTAAATCTTGCCTTCCAAGCTTTAGTGGATTGGGCTGGAGGAACTGGGCAATCAAATGGGCAGTGATAGAAGTGATAGCAGTTGTGAGAAGCAGGTAGTCTCAGTGAAGGCTTTTTGTCCAATGATCCCTCAAAACCTGGAGCTAGCACTGAATATGGGGGTAAAGCCCTTTTCCAATCCATGTTTGAAATAAGCATTACCATCCCTGAAAGTTATGTTCTACTTAAATCCCGGTGGCCATGCTGGCTGGAGTGTGTAAGAGTGGTAATCCAAAAAAGCAACCTTTCTAAATTCTGCGTCAGAGCATCTACAAATGACATTGGTTCAGAGCTGTTTATGCATATGCAAAAATAAGGATATCTATTTCCTTTGGCTCTGTGAAAGCTAGATTAACAGAAGACAGATCCTGAGCTTGCTCCTTAATGCATACAGAAAACTGAGAGTGTTCTGTCATGGAACTGGAGTATTAAAGGGTACTTTCCCTCCCACAATGGGATTTCCTCAGATATGCATGGTTCAGCAAATAGATTTGCTAATTAAGTCCATGGATACCTTCCATTGACCAAAGAACACTAAATGTAAGATACATAGGTGAGGAAAATGCTATAACAATTAGACATCTTTTACAGAAGGAGCATCACTTCTGACAACATGCTAAATGCGTCAGCAAGTTCAACAAGAAAGTGTTCATAATATCTCTTGCTATGTTGACCGAATATGCTGCATCTCTTCCCATTACTCAGCTTTCTCCACCTGCTGGGCCTCCTGAGCAACCAACGTGGAACTCATCCTACTTGTTTCAAGGAAGAGATGGAGCCACCGCTTTCTCGGATGATACAGCCCTGGTGATTGAATACTTCAAATCAAGTATGCCTTTCTCTTTGGCAGATAATAGAGAAATATATGCTTCTCCTCATAGATTATAAACTAAAGGCATACAAAACTCTTACAAGTGCAGAGATCACCATATTGAAAGGGATGAGGAATATATTTTAGAGCATTGAAGCAACTAGTTCCAAGTAAATAATTACTTGTAGCAATAGCAATAACAGCTTCATTTATATGCTGCTTCATACCACATTATTCTTTCCCAATAACGAACGTGGAACTATATTACAATTCTTTTATAACTTAAAAAGGGATGATTTCACTCATTTTCTAGTGTAACTAGAACTTTTTGGTTAGCTGTATGCATTTGTGTTGATAGTTAAAAACACTATGAAATTGAAACACTATGAAATTCATGGGGACGCCATAAGTCACCAGATGACTCGAAGACACATATTCATACACACACCACCTCTAATCTAGTCTTTTAATCCATTGCTTCCACTTGCTAAGAAGTTTGGTTAATTTGCAACTCTAAAATCCAGGGTGATGTTTGGATGAGAAAGATTTTGGAAGCATCCCTAAATAGGCTTGTAAGTTCATTAGGGAAAACAACGGCAAATGCTCTCTGATCTTTGGTTTCCTGCTGTGCTGTATTAAGAGACTAACTGATACAGTTTATCCCACTTTCCCACCCAGCAGGACCTGGAGAAGAGCTGGAAAGCAGTCCCAAGCCCTTGGGCTTCTCTGTGCTACCATTAACCAACCGAGTATATCGGAAGCTGGTGGCAGACAGCAGCAGGAGTGGTGTCCAAATCAAAAACCTTCCCATCCAGGTGAGGTTGGATGTGTCTACCTGTTTCTAGTCCATGTCAGTTTCATATATGCTTATTCTACTCCATCTCATCAGTTTCATATGTTCCTATACCATTCCATCCCATTTCTGATCCATGTCAGTTTCATACAGTATGTGCACATTCCACCCAATTTTGGTCCACCTCAGTTTCACATGTTCCCATTCCATCCCATTTCTACACCATGTCAGCTTCGTAAAGGGATGTTGCTTTGGAGAGGTAAAAATGAGGGATATTTGAATGTGGGGAGAATATTGCAGAGGAATAGTCATTTTCTCCTGCCTTCAAGAATGAAATAGTCAATGGTTTACATTCCTGTAGCACAGTGGTTCCCAAACTTTGGTCCTCCAGATATTTTGGACTTCAGCTCCCAGAATTCCTGACTGTTGATCAAGCTGGCTAGGGCTTCTGGGAGGTGAAGTCCTAACACCTGGTGTGTGTGTGTGTCAAAGTTTAATTCACTAAAGTTAGTATCATCCAAGCCATTGTATTCCCCATCACCATGGACGGATGTGAGAACTGGACAGTGAAGAAAGCAGGTAAGAAGAAAAGCAATCCATGTGAGATGTGTTGCTGGGGAAGAGTGCTAAAGATACTGTGGACAGTCCAAAAGACAGATACATGGGTCCTTGAATAGATCAGGCCAGAAATCTCCCTGGAAGCCAAAATGATCAAACTGAGGCTGTCATACTTTGGCCACATCATGAGAAGGCAAGACTCACTGGAAAAGGCAATAATGCTAGCAAGGATGAAGGGAAGTAGAAAGAGAGGAAGGCTGCATGCTAGATGGATGGACTCTATTATGGAGGTCGCAGATATGAATTTGCAGGACCTCAGCAGAGCAGTGGAAGACAGGAGAGCTTGGAGATGTCTCACCCACAGGGTCACCATGAGTCACGGGCAAATCGAAGGTGGTTAACAACAGCAAATTCAAACTCCATGGCCTAAAACCTATTGCTGGTCCAGCTAGAGTAGATCTATTCAATCAATTCAAAGATATAGCTGGGTTAGTCAGTAGAATCAGTATGTAAAGAGATCTTGTAGCACCTTTGATACTAAATGAAAGAAAGAGGTTGGCAGCATGAGCTTTCGTAGACTTCAGTCTGCTTTCTCATATGTGTCTGAGGAAGTAGACTGAAGTCTATGAAAGCTTAGGCTGCCAACTTCTTTCTTTCAGTCAGTCTCAAGGGTGCTGCAAGATCTCTCTAAATCTTATTCAATCAATGGTATTTATGTCTGGGTTGACTTACATTCAGTAGTTGAATTTGATTGGGACTAACAACTGGATATCTGGGCCCTTGAATGAAGTGAATTCTGAAGATCAGCCACGTTAATTGACTTTGTTCTCTTATCTATTTGCTTCCCCAGAATACAATGCTACGAACCACATCTGGAGAAATCCCAACTGTCAAACTTGGTCTCCAATTAATCAATTCAGAGGTGAGGAAAAAGAAACACTAGGAAAATAATAATAATCAATTGGCTGGTTTGGTGGGTTCCAGCTAGAATATCTGAGCTCCTTTACATGGTAGAGGAGATGGATTCTGATTATTGGAATGAAAGGCCTGTTAGAGCCTGTACTCCATTCATAGTGGAGATGCCCATCTTAGATTGGTGAATGTGAAAAAATCAAATTGCAGATGGAAAAAAAGCTTAGACTCTTCAACAGAACAAACATTTATTAAGGGAACCCATTTTTGAATAGCAACAGCTAGTTCCCTTTTAAACTAATCTAAAAGAGAAAAAAGGATGTAGCTGAGACACATGGAAAGAGCACCAAAGCAGGGAAGTAAGACAACAGATCCCAATTTCTCTCTATCTAAGCCATCTCATCCCTAATGGACAAGAGAGCAGCAGGAACAAGTACATAAACTGCGGTTTCTTCCAACATAAGTCCCAGTTAGTCCTCTGTCATCCCATTGTTCCTGCTGCTTCTCAAATGTCCCAGTTTCTCTCTTCTCCTCCCACTTTCACCCTTTGTCTTTGGATTACTTCAACTG